TTGTCATAGAAAGCTGAACTAAGGCACTTGCTAACATAAAATATGTCATCCTAATTTAGCAGCTACTAATCAGTATTGAGAAACGGGTGCATTTGGAAACCAGTGTGCACAAGCCAGCTCATTCAACAAGATGGATGGAGTGTTTCCAGAATTTGTGTTTTGTTTTTGCTGCTTGTTTGTTTTAATCTCAACCTTTTGTATCTTTCTGGCATGGAGATAGATAGCAGATAATCATATTAGATTTGAATAAAGCTTAGGCAGTTTCTGATCTATAAGTGGTTTATTACTTCATATGTACCAGTAGTTTCTTAGCTTACCCCTTTTGGAAGGCTGGCCCTCACCTCCCTCTTTAGAGATGTTGGATACACTTAACCTTATTGCAAAGAATCTACCTGCTGCTAGACAGCCCCCCTTCTCTGCCCGAAAATGCTAGAGCTCTTGTGATCTCTCTTAGTCACAGCACATACTTACCTGCTTGTTGAACTAAGTGGCATTAGGGGATTTTATACTTCTGTTCTGAGTAACATATGTGTTACAGAAGGGTGTTTAATATTGTGAAAACATTACCTCTAAAAGCTAACCTGGAAATCTCCTAGTGAGATACATAAATAACTAGATACCTTTTAAATACCTCCTAAAGATTCCTAATATCAGATTGTACAATTGGCTTAACCTGATAAGAGACGCACAGTGGTTCAGTGGTTACTATAGAAGCACAGGGCCAGCAGAACTAGTAGTCTGTACAGGCTACTATCAGGGTTTCAGGAGGTCCTGGCTGGGTGCCAAGACCCTGTGGAAAACATAAAGGCTGTTCACTATACCAAGTGCTAGACACCTGCTAACAATTAGACCACACCTGTGCTCTGCTGTTTGGTCTTTCCCTTCCTCCTGTGAACTACTCTTTTAAAAAATCACTGAAAATCTGAAATGCTTCATTTCTGACCCAGGCTTCTGTGTATCTTTATACCTTCTCAAAACTGTGTACCAATTGTAGGAGAGCAACTTTCAACTACTCTCTCATTGAAATGTAGACAAATATCTCATTGTGAAACAAGTATGCTGCTTCATAAGCACAGAAACAAAACAACCAGGAGCGCTATGGTAGTCCTCCAGAAATCGTGTTTTAACATGTAGGCACTAGCAAGTGTCTGTTAAATAAGTGCAAAAAGCAAAAAGTCAAAGTAAAAAGAAATGATGACTGAGTACATTTTGTTTTCACTTCCCATCTTATCAGCTTTTTCAAGGCATCATTTTAATTTCAGCAAACTTGGATCCTTCATTGTGTTTGAACATTGTTCAAATGTCAGGCCCTGGCTGTTTATATACACACACTTAATGTATAAGCTGAATTGCTGTGTCTAAACACAAACACATACTCAGTTGATGTGATTAGATGAGGGAGCTGGTTGTTCATGGAAGAGTAACCCTGGGAATTATGTGTGCCTTTAATTTTACCCCAAAAGTCTTGAGATGATTTCTTAGTATGCATGACAGTGTACTGCATTGATGTTCTTAACTATTGGCTATAGGACTTGTTACAAATCTAGCCAGCAGTTATTGAGTATCGAACAGACCTGTGCTGGACCTTGCCTGTCCCTGCCTTCAGGTGGTTTACCATCTGAGATGATAGACCACATAAATATGAAACATCAGTACTAATTCTAAACTAGTTCAAAATCAGGCACTTGGGTCTCCAGCAGCTCTCAAAATAAAAGACTTAAATGAGTTGTAAAGGCAGAGCAGGAACAAGATTTGCCAAGATTTGGACTTGCACTTGGGCTTAATGGATGAAGAAGAGAAGACAAGAGAAAGGGAAAGGCAATTCCAGCCAGTGGGGAACAGTATAGAAAAGGCTGGTGGTATGCATTCAGGTTGTGTTTGCAGGACAGTGTGACGAAGCCTGGCACAGCATAGAGGTTCTGCGTCGGAAAGAGTGACGGTAAGGTGGAGGCTTGTCTGGGGCCAAGCCCACACTGCTGCAGAGCAAAGTGAGCTGGAAGGCGGTTGACCAGGACAGTTCCTGGGCCTCTCTGCGGGGTTCCACTTCTGCCTCCACCCCTCATGAGCTGTGTCATCCTGGTTGTCACACAAGCCATTGTTTTTAGCACTTAGGAAAATGAGGACAGTGTTTATATTTATCTCTTGGGGTTGCTGTAAGGAACAAAAGAAATAATCACATAAAGTGCTTATTATAGTGCTGGTTACTTGCTAGAGCTCATTACACTATTAGTTATTAGGCAAGAGAGAGTAGTGGCAGCTGTGCTTTAGAAAGCCGACTTGGCAATGCAGAATAAGTTGAGTGAAGCTTGAGACTTTGTGGGTGCCTTCACCTGAATGGAATTGAAGACGATTTTATAAAGTGTCACCACAATTTCCGGCTTTTCTAGGAAGGCTCAGGAAAGTATAAAGGATCACATGTTGAGCACAGCCATCCTGTTTATACCAAATCTCCATTTCACAGATTACAGGAACAATCATGCTTGACAGTCATTCAGAAGTAATTTGGTCAGAGCAACTGGCAGTATCCTTATAGCTACGGTTAGAGGAAGTGAATTATGGAGCCAGAAGTAACTGGAAATTTGTTTGCTTTTGTTTTTTTCTTGGTTAATATTTTACATTGTGTACCTGGAGGCTGGTGTACTGAGAGATGAGATAGAGAATTGAATCTGAATACATCAAAATGGAAAATAACTGTGACTATCCCGACCAGAATTGTAGTGCCTGACTTCAGTAACTCATGCATGCTAATTTTTGTGTGTTCCAGTTTGGGTAGAAAAGAAAATGGAAGACGGCACTCTAGGAAAACCTAAATTCGATTTGATCCTTCTCCTTGAAACTTTTCTTTCAACTGCTAAGATCTTTAGCTGAGAGCAAGTTGTATCGAATAATCTGTATTTAGCTACACGTAGTGTATATTAGTTCTATGCCAAATTTATAAGTATTAATGTATACCAGATCCTTAAACTTCTTCAAAAATATTTAGAATTAAGTACAATATAATCTAAATTTAATAAAATTATATTCTGGTTTATGTACTGGGAAACCACATTAATGTGAGTGGAGATTTACTATTCCTTTCTTCCTATTTAGTTCAATCAACACTTCTGAATCCCTTCCCTTCCTTGCCTTTCTCAGATCCCAGTGTAGTTATCCTTATTTTCTCTCAGTTGTGTTCTTATTCTGCACTTTATCTGTAGTGCTTTAGCCTTTCCGTCTGTCGGTTCACTCTTGTCTTCTTCCTCTACAAGTGTGACTGCAAATTATTACTATCAGAATATGTTATCCACTTAACTGGGTCTTCAGTACTGTTGCTTTTTGTTCTAATCTTTCTGTGGCATATTAAAATAGTGACCTAGTGAGCAAAGTACAGGCATACCTCTAGTTGCACTTCGCTTTACTACACTTCACAGATATGTGCTTTTAACAAATTGAACACTGTGGCAACCTGGTTTTGAGCAACTACATGGGTACTCTTTTTCCAACAGCTCAGCTGAAGTTTAGCAGCTTTTAAAAAAGTAGTTTTTAATTAAGATATGTATTTTTTTAGACATAATGTTATTACACACTTAATAGACACAGTGTAAACATAACTTCCCTATGCTTTGGAAAGCCAAAGAATTTGTATGACTTGCTTTATTACAATATTTGCTTGATTGCAATGGTCTGGAACCAAACCTGCAATATTTCCAGAGATTACGGAGAGTACAGCACAGAAGTGTGAGGTGTTACGATGTTGTTGAGGGAGGGTGTTAGAATTGTCAACTTTTAAAAGTTTGATTTTATTTATCCAGTTCTATTAATAATAGTTTACTGTTGGATTATGTGATATGACATAAAGATTTACTACAACTACTTGTGCCTCTGCTGGTAAATTCGGTATTTAACTACAGAAATTCTTTTTCTAATAGAAACGAGTGCCCCACTTATAACCTCAGACTTCCCTGGTGAAAAAGTTTATAGAATAAATTGTTCAGAAAATACTACAGAGGAAATAGTGATCTACCAATTTATAATCATCAAGTTTTAATTAACTTCCTTGTCAGTGTTTGTGATTATCAGCTGTCGAAAACTTTTAAGATGGAAAGTATCGAGGAAAATTATTGACAAAACTTAGCATTCTAAAAGCTTGTGAATACAAGTAGCCATTCAGTTACGGCATTTTTCATACAGTTTTCTTAGTTCTATGGCATTTTTCATACAGTTTTCTTAGTTTTATAAATTAAATTTCAAAGTCATTTGTAATTCAACAATATAGGTGGTGAACAGACCTCAGCTTTGATGACTTATTTGAAAGACACTTTGAAACTCTTTTACCCTGCTCAGCAGGATCTATTCCTGATCAGCAATAGAACCATTATCCAAAAAGCTAGAAAGGCAGAGTATCATCCATACCTGACAGCTACAAAACATTTTCTGTTCAGGATCTTAGAAACAGAAGCACCCCTCCTTTTCCATAGGCCAGCAAGCCAGATCTGGTTCCCACAGCCACAGTATCCTTTTCAGATGTGCTCTCAATTTGTAGCTGCTGTCCTTCAGAAGAGATGGACTGGGGAACTGTCACCACCCTTCAAGGCCTCTTCTCAGATCAGAGTCCAGGCTCCTGAAGTTGACCACAGTGCAACTGGTTTGCAAATACACACACCTCACTTCTGAGTCAGGCCAGCTTGCAGTACCACCTGTACATAGCAGACAGCTTGCTGCTCAAAGCCCTATATTTTCTCTTAGATCAGCACTCCAGACTCCCAAGTCGAATGGGAACATTTATTTCACTCTCTCACACACACCCTCCTCTCTCCCTCTCCCTTCCCTCCACTCCCTCCCACCCCCTATTTCTCTGTCTCTCCAGGCCACTACCATTGTTTGGTGTCTTGACACACAGATGAGAGACTAAGCCTGCTTTTTGGCAAACAGAATAGAATGTTTTTGTTTAGTATTCCTTTTCTCTTTGTTGGCAGACTTTCTTCACCTTCACTAAGAAGATTAAAAGATAGTCCCTAACTCTGAGCTGTTTGATGATGATGATGATGATGATGATGATGATGATGATGATGATACCACCATCTTTTGGTAGTTAAACTGCAATAGTCTGCTCATCGCCTGGAAAAAGAAATCATAAAGTAAAAATGTTACACTAAGAGTGTTATGGTTTGAACCTGTCATCAAGAGCTTATTGGGATTGTAGAAGTTACCAACCCTGTAAGTACAGGAAAATTTTTCATTGTGATTGTATAGATATACATGTTCACAGAGCTATTCTTTATGCCAGGAACTGGAAAACTGTAGCACTTAATCTGGTTTCCCATCTATTTCTTACAGTCTTATGGAAATTCATTATATCCATTTTTTGGGAATACATCAATATTACATATTGTTTGGGGCAGCTTTGACCTATATGGTCAGAATTGAGTTGTTGGAAGAGAAGCCAGAAGGCCCATGAAAACTAAAATGCTTATCTTCAAGCCTGTTACAGTTACAATTTGCTTACCCCTGTTCTAGGAATGCTTCCAGATTGTGCCACCTTATAACTGAGAATCTACAAGGACCATTAGAGATTATGTCCTCCATCTGAAGTGATTTCATAAATCAAAGCTCGATGAAGTAATTTTCAAAGCATCTTTATTAGTTGATGATTTCTTTTAAGAAGGAAATTTTTTCCAAAAAAACTTTTTTCATTGTGAAACACAAATATTGCTAACTTGACCATCTTTAAGTTTGTAGTTCAGTGGCATTAAATACATTAATATTGTACAACTGTCACCATCATCCAACTCTAGAACTTTCTCATTTATTCATGCATACAGGGGTACAGGCCAGAGGTGCAAGGGCAGTGAGAGGATTTACCAGAGACAGAGTGGGGAGCAGAACAGGCAGATGGACGAAGTACACTGCGGGCAGGTCAGGAGAGGTCTGCCACCCCATGTGGTCGCCTCCAGGGCAGGCGGAAATCAAACTCATGCTGAAGTGGCTTTAGCTTCTTAGTGCTGTGTTTTAACCTGCTGCGCCACCAGGGAGGGCCCAACTCTAGAACTTTTAGCTTTACATCTTCCCATACTGAAAATCTCTACCCACTGAATAATAACTTTGCCCCCTCACCTCTCAGTCCCTGTCAACTACCATAATACTTTATGTCTTTATGGATTTGACTATACCAGGTACCTCTCTCGTATAAATGGAATCGTTTGAAAGTGGTCTATACCTTTATTCAATTGAAATAAGTATGCTTTACAGCAGCAGAAAAAAATCTAACCATGTCCCTGATTGACTTGGCCTTGAGTAGGCTGATATTTTTCTTAATGTCCTCAGCTCTAAAAAGGCACATTTTAGTATCTTTCTTTGGAGAATATAACAGTATCATGGTATTAGCCAATTAAAGTAAAACAGGGAAGATTTAAATTTTACAGTGGAGTCACAAAATATTAATTTCACAGTTGAGGCATTTTTTTCCAGTATTTAGGAACAAAAGAACACAAATTGATATTCACAAAGTAAATTAGTAGGCAATGGAGTCAGCTAAAGACCAAGGGTGATGATTGGGATCAGATGAATCACTGCTGGAAAGGATGGAAGCACACCTCTCTCTCTGGTGACTGGCTCAACTTGCCATGTCCAATGTCTCCCTGTCTTAGCAGGTGTTGCCTCTACACTGCCTATGTCTTGCTCTTTATACTTCCCTTCTTGCTCATCATTCTTGCTTCCATGTACATCCTAAAAACAAATGAACTGTTCCAAGACATTTGTTCTAAATGTTTGTCCTCAGACCTTATGTCCTATGTTTCATTATTATTTTGAACAGATAGCAGAGAAGGATATAGATAGAACATTCTTAAGATTAATTCAGCAAGCATTTGTTTGCTAACTATATACTTAGTGCATTAATTGTATTACCTCCTATAAGCCTCTTCAAGTTTCCTGTATGTACTTTCACTGTAGCTATTTAAAAGATGAGAAAACTGAGGAACAGGATAGTTCTTTCTCCTAGGATACATAGTTAGAGATTGTATTGGAATTGGGAAGTTATCATTGCAATCATTTTTATTTTATTACTGTTTTATTATCCCTTTTTTAAATTAAACTGTCAGTCATTGACAAGTCTCTATAACTGAGGTTTACATTTTCACTCCTCCATATGTGTACATGTTTCACCAAATCTTCTGTGCTAGTCCCCTTCCCCTTTTTTTTTTTTCCCTTCCCCTTTTTTAACTCTGTGCTCCTCTCACCTCTTCTTTCCTGTAACCAGTATATTTTTCACACCGTTTAAGAATTGTTTTTGCCATGCTTTTTAGTGGTTTTTTTTTTGGGAGGGGGGGCTACTTACACTTCATAGATAAGTTAAACTACTCTGTGTCTGTCTTATATTTTCTGATATATTTCACTGATATAATCACTTCAAGGTCCATACATTGTGTCCCAAATGGCATTGTTTTATCTTTTTTAATAACTACTAGATTCTATTGAGTATAAATTCTACAAGTTCTTTATCTAATCATCTGCTGTTGGGCATTTATGTTGATTCCATGACTTAGCTGTTGTGGACAGTACTTCTCTGGACATAAAGGAGTACATAAGTATTTTCATACTAGTGTTTTCAAATTATTTGGGTAAATATCTAACAGAGGTATTGCTGGATCATATGGGATTTTCATTTTTATTTTTTTAAGGTATCTTTATGCTATTTGCCATAGAGGCTGCACCAGATTGCATTCCCACCAACAGTGGGTGAGTGTTCCATTTTCTCTACATCCTTATCAACATACGTTGTTCCCATTCTTTTTCATATCAGCCAGTGTCACAGGGGTGAAATAATATCTCATTATGATTTTGATTTACATTCTGAATTAATTTTTGTGTATGAATTAAGTATGGATCAAGTTTCACTTTTTTTCATTGACACAATCTGTATTTCCCAACACTGTTTATTAAAAAGGCTTCCCTTTCTCCATTGTATAGTCATGCTCCTTTGCCAAAGATTAACTGTCCATATTTGTGTAGGTTTATTTCTGGGCTTTCTATTCTATTCTATTGGTTTTTCTGTTTTTGTTCCAGTGCAATACTGTTTTGATTATTGTTGCTGTGTAGTATAGTTTGAAGTCAGTGAGTGTGAAACCTCTATTTTTCTATTTTTCTCTCAGGTTGCTTTGACACTTCAGAGGCTCTTTGTGATTCATACAGATTTCATTTGTCTGTTTATTCATTTACTCGTTCTTACAACAAATTCTTTTTTTAAGGAATATTGATTATAACCCATATACATTTCAAATAGTAATTATTAAGAATCAACATGTATACGTTACATTAAATTCACTGCTAAATGTTACCTAGATATGTCCCTCACCATTCCAATGTGTCCTTTTTCCCAATTTACCCACTGTCCTTCCCCACAGATACTGAATGAGAATCCCTTTTGTTTTAGATTTAAGTGATGCAGCAGTAATGATAAAAGCTTTGTGCTCACAGAGCTTATGTTCTGTTGACTGCTCTTCCATGCACCCATCTTATCTTCTCACTTATCTAGTCGAAGGTGCTTGATGCTGGTGCTTTCTTTCAGTTTTTCATCATAAAGGTATCAAAGGAATTTTTGATAATTGGAAAAAGCTAGGAGAACACCATTCAATAGATAGAAATGAAGAAATCATTGATTACAAATACTGTTTCTTTCTTCTTGAATTATTAGGAAAAAGTGATCACAGCTCCTGAAATTACTGTAGGGTTTATTGCCCTGAAGGAAAGTCAAAAATTAAGTCTATCGTATATTATCAATAATGTCCCATCCCTACTTTTAGATTGGTTTATTTTAGTTTCTCTGCAAACATGAACAAAATTTTAATCGATGTTTGTCTTTAGACTAGTTAAAGATAGTCTGAATACATTAGTTGGCCTTTTGTTTTAAAGTAGTTCTTTGTTTTGTTTTTGATCCAAGATGGAATTGTAAAGTAAGAGAGAAAAGATGGTTCAGTGTTTTGCCATCTCTTCTTCCAGAATATCCTCTCCTTCCTTCTGCTAGCTCCCCACTCTCCCTGCTAACAAAGAGTTATTAAAATGAATACCCTGCTAAAGCATTGACTCATAGCTAGCTAAAGCCTTGGCCTTTCTCCCTTCCTGTGTGGACTAAGAAGTCTACCAGTCCTTGTGATCTAGGAACAGATAGTTCAAGTGATGGCTCATAAGGGCTTAATTAATACCCAGGCTGGATAATTTTCATTTTAATGAATAACATTTCTGCTAGCCACTCATTTGAATGAAGCAAATAGAAATTTCACACACCACCTCTACAATGTTGATCTAACCCAAATTGTTACGCATTTTTGGAAAAATAGTTTTCTATGTATGTTTTTGAATTGCTTTGTGAAATATTTACGTTTCCCCATCTTGTTTACAAAAGTTGGATATGGTGAATATTGTTGAGTTGAGAGAAGGAAGTACTTTCTGACCACTGTGTATCTTTTTGCTATGTCCTAGTTCCACTTTCCCCATCTGGAGTATAATGAATGCTATGCATTCAAGTAACTGTTGAGTGGGAAACTGAGTAACTGTAGATACTCTAGACAATCCAGAAGGCATTTGAGACAAGTAAACCTAATCATGTAAGACAGTGTAGTATATGAGTTGAAAGAATTAAGAGAGAAAAAGTGTGTGTGTGTGTATTAAGAAGATTTCTCAGTGCTTGCTTTGGAGTATAAGAAAAAGTACTTTGAGATCATCTGATACCCAGCAGACAAAGAGGATTGTCTAAACTTAGCAAGGGCAAGAAGGATTGGGGCAAGGTGCTCATTTACACAAAGCTCTGTAGCTGGAAGGTTAAATGGTTCATTGTGACTGCAGCATGGAGTTCAAGAGAGAAGCTATAGAAGTGATAGGGATACAGATGAACTGATAAAATGTTTGGGTATTCCCTAAGTTACAAGGATTTTTAAAGTCATGGCGCCTCATGATCAAATGGGTAGTTAGAAAGAATCATCAGACTATACTATGCAGAATGAATTGGCAGCAAAGAGCTATAGAGAGACCACTTATGAGTTCATTGGAGTGATAGAAGGTAAAGATAATAGTGATCTGTACCAGAGCGGTTAAGTGGAAGGATTTAAGAGACATTTAGCAGAGTCCTTGAGAATTATTGACTGCAGGGGGGAGGTGCATTAAGAGAAAAAGAGATATGGTCAAGGGTGATTGAAAATCCTTCAGTTCTCTGTTCCCCTCCG